TGAAGTCCAAGCCCACGGTCTCCAGCGTCAGGAAGCAGGGAGCGCTCTGTCAGTATGCAAACTTCATTTAAAGGGCTGCTTTGAAACTCAGCTCAGTCCAACTCAATCCACTGCAACCCAAGTCAACTGTGCTCATCCCCAGTTCAATTCAGCTTAGCCCACCCTGAGTAAACGCAAAGCAGCGCCACTCCTTCAGCACACGTGGTCACTTACGATTGTGCAGTAGAGCGCTGCATGTGCAAGGAAGCCTGACTGACCTAGGAGAGGAAGTGTTCAAGGCCTTCTTTTAAAAATTTAATTTAATTTTTTTTTTTGTCTTTAAAGACAGGGTCTAACTGCAGTTCAGGCTGGTCTTCAACTCACTTTGTAGCCCAGGCTGGCCTCCAACTCACAATGATCCTCCTGCCTCAGCCTCCCGAGTGCTAGGATTGTGGGCATGTGCCACCACGCCCGGCTAAACGCTTCCTAAGACTTTTACAGGACAATCTGGAAATGAGGCACCCTTAGTGAGACATGAGTTAGGACATTCAGGAATGTTATAGATAATTTCCATTTCTCTAAGTAGAAAGAAATGCTAGTTTTACCACTGACATAGAAATGTCACCTTTTAAAAAGCTTAAATAATATATAGATTTTCAGCACATACAAGGAAATTCAGTTTCTCAGAATTAAAAATTTAAAGGTTAAAGTTAAAAAGTAATCAGTTAAAAGCTGACTATTTGGAACCCAGATACAAAACTCTAAGTGTATGTGATTTAGCAGTTAGAAGTGGTTCTGAGTTTTGAGGATGTTATTTGTTTTTTGTGTTTCAGATCCAAGGAGTATAACCCTTTAATTGGCATGCTTAGATAGGTCATAGTGCTGTGTGAAAAGATAGCCCGTTTACCCGGCTCCCACCAAGCTCCGACCCTCAGCAGCGTCTCCGGCACGCCTGCCCTCTGCTCGGAGCTGCTCCACATTCTCCCAGGACCCAGTTTGGATCATCGCTTAATGATGGGCTTCCATATTCCCGAAAAACTGGGAAACTGGTTGTATAAACTCGTTTCCTCCATCCCGACCCAACCCCTCTAGTATTTACCCTGCTCTGCTATACTACATGGAAAGTTACAACTTATTTACCTTTCTCTCAAAATCTGAAATCTCAGCTTTGTCAGTCCAATAATGCAAATATTTAATTACTTTCTTACCGTGGTGCCAAAGGATTACTTCCTTACCATGGCTTGTTTTCCTTCTGCTTTCCGGCATCCAAGACAAACTTGGGATTTGTTGAAAAGTTGTATTTAGCTTTTCTTTTTGTAACATAAGATAGACACACACAACGCCTGCTTGTTCCCACATTTCAGGTTTTTCTCTGCAGCCTTCCAGACTAGAATAGATTTCTTTATAATGTTCTCCCCCACTGCTATGGGGGTTCCTACTATCCTGTAATATCAATTGTTTCACTAGTCACTGGCCTTCGAGAAAGTTGGTGGAGGGTGGGGGGGATGTGCATCTATCCTCTTAATCTCTGCATTTCGGAGCTGGTGCCTAGTGGGGACCAAAGGAACGTGTGCTGAAGTCCCTGGGAAGCCCGAAGCGTGTGACTAGTGCAGCTTTGGTTCCTTGCGAGAGACGTTTGGGAGGCATCTCAGGGAACAGCATTTCACTGAATTTTCTTGCATTCAGTGCAGCAGTTTGGCAACCCTTCAGAACTGCGCTCTGCAATGAAAATCAGAAGCTAAACACAGACCCGTTTTAGGGGGTGTGCAGCAGGCTCTGTTCTGAGCCAGCTCTGTGCACGGTGAGCAGATGAAGTCCTCCCCACCGGCTCATGCCAGTGGCCATGTGCCCTGTTCTCTGCTTTCCTCTACCTCCACCCCCACCTCCACCGCCAACCTCAGCAAAAGCCCACGCTGCCTGTGCAGGGTATGCTAAAGATTCAGCACTTGCCTTTGGGCTAAAACAGGTGTTCTGGTAGGAAAACAAGCACTGTACTAGGAAGCACAGGAAGCAAGAATTTTGGGGTGACTTCTAGGATGGTTTTGTATACAGAAAAATCAATTCAGTTTTACTTTGTTTTAAAATTCTTATTACACTTATGAATACAAGAACCTGCCGTCTCTTTTAAGAAGCCTTTGTTTGAGTTACATTTCATATTATTCTACTTAAAATTTGCAAATTTTATCAATCACTTACTTGCCTTTGGAAAATATTTGGTGTAATATACAATTTCTAAGTACTTGAGTTCTGAATTAATAAATAAACTATTTCCAAACACTTAAAGACCTTTTTATATCTGATAATTTGAATTTACATGACAAAAATGAAATTCTTTTATGTGCTCCAAACTCTATATAAATCATGAATGTAGAACAATATGGCTAAATCTTTATTCTAATATATCAAAACCTCTACAATATTACTGTCTTATAAAATAATATACAGAGACTACATAACAAAAATAGATAAATGCAATGGATTTGATTCTCAAATATTTCTACACTTCTAAATTTTCTCTACTTTGAAGGATCTGTACCCACAAAAATATACCAAACATTGTGCAAATTGGGAGGATCCAGCCCTATGGAATGCTGAGGTAACTATATCAGAATGCAAGAAGCTACCATTTTAATAAAAAAACAGCACAGGTGAAAGGCTGACAGAATCGTGAATTCACTGAACTTTCTGTCACTAGTAGAACTGGTCTGAGGGAATACAACCAATTACCTGTTCCATATGTCTCTGTTGGGTTGGTGTCTTGGTTACTTAGCTCTCATTGCTGAGACAAAATACCTGATGCCCAAAATTAAGGAAGGAAGGAAAGGTTTATTTAGCTCACAGTTTGTGGAGGTTTCAGTCCATACTTGGATGGCACCAAGGCGGAGTGGCACAGGGCAGAGGGCAACAGTTCATGGTGGCAGAAAACAGCAAAAAACCAGCCAGAGCAAAAGGGAGGAGTGGTGGCAAGCAGCCTCTTACACTCCCTTGCATATACAAGTAGCACTCACACCCATAATCCAAGCCCTGGCTCATGGATCAATCATAAACTCTGGAAGCCCGCCCCATGACTGCATGACGCTTTGGGGGGACATCCAGACACAAACCGCACAGCTGGGGATTTCTGTTTCTGGGAAATGGAAAGGCAGGCACTACTTAACAAAAGACTTTTAAGTTCAATTTTTTTTTTCTTTACATCTTTAATCTCACAAATTTAGAAAATATTTTTCAAATATCTTGTTGAATTCTCACTTCTGGAGTCACAACCTCTGTCATCACTTTGGCGATACTTTTCCAGAGGACTATTTCACTGATTTACAGGAAATATGGCCTTTTCTGTTTAGATATTTGTATACATGTAGAAAAGGAGGTTGTGCAGCTTCTACCCCTTGTGGTCTCACACCTCGAGGGAGGACGAAAGGAGGCCTCTGTGGGCAGCCCCAGAATGCCAATGCCAACTCCCCACTGCTGGACAGGTGCAGCCTGTTGTGAGTTTCGAACACATTCATTTCTCAGGAAGATCTGGAGAAGTTAGGGCTACAGTGACGGCAAACCTATGGCACACGTCCCACAGTGGGCACGCAGGGCCCTTTCTGTCTGCATGCGAGCCGAGTGTCTGAGTTGTTTTTCCTAAACCAAAATCTCAGTATTTGGGTTTAATTGTATGGCTGGCACTTTGCAATAAGTAAGTGGGTGGGGGTCACAGTTTGGGTGCTCTTCTCTGAAAGGTGCACTGTTACCGGCTTAGAATAAAAGCTGACATGTTCTCTGAGAGTGACTTCGGACCATTTAGGGCACCACAGAGACACATGCTGCCCATGGGTCCAGAGCAAGTGCTCCTGCTGCAGAGTTTGCAGACAGGCAGAGTTCTGGAAGTTGCTCAGTGCTGTCCCTGCTGTCCCTGGAGTCTCCTTGTCATCTGTGTAGACCGCCTTTGTTACAGCACAGACCTTGGCAGCCAGCCTCCCGGGTGGGTGATTGAGATGGCACACTCCCCTTGGAGGCTGCCCCAGGGAGACACTCAGAAACACTGAGGGGAAAGCCAGAAGTAGGCTTTAAACAGCCAGAGAATATTAGTCTCTAACAAAAAACGAATCTGTTTGTTCCTGAGCTTGCCTATTATCAGGTTGTTTTGTAGGGGTGATAACTTTTTTGATTTTCAGAGCATCTTTAAAAGTGAAGATTTTCTTTTCTATTCCTCCCAAATTATTGCCAAAGTACCTTAAAATGACTTTAGACTTAGACAGTTTTGGCCAGCTAAAGCCATTGTAAACTAAAATACCTATGATAATACAGAAAAATAAAAAACACCATTAAAAATGAAGTCTACTAAACAATTGATGCCACAAATCTGGTGGAAAATCTCAAAAAAAGTTGAGGTAGATTTTAAAAAGGAAAGTCAAAAGCTGGCAACTGTACTCTGTATCCTCATTTTTAGTATGGTCATAGATGGGTTCCCCAACAGAAAGTGCTTTGGAAGAGGTGTGCCTGGAACTGCGGGAATTCTAGTAACTCGGATGAGAAAAAGCAGGGAGAGGGGGTGAGGGTCCCTCCTGCTGGAACAGGGCTGGCCATCAGCAGCCCCCAAGTACACCTAAGACTGTATCTACTGAAAAGCAACTCTCAGATTTCAAGGATACATAAAAGAAAAAGGAACGGAAGAGAAAGTATAGAGAATTATTTGGGTAAACTACACATGAAACAAGAGAATCTCTAAGGATAGCTTTTCCTTATGATTCTGAAAACTGGACAGAGGTTATTTACATTAATGATAACCATAAGCAATACTAAAGCTAGAGTGGGACCAACACTTTTCTTATTAAAGATATGTCATTTCAGATCATGTAAAAATAACTCAGTAACATTCTTTGTATATACCTTGTATAAAAAGACCTGGACAGAGTAACAGTGGAAGAATGACCATTTACCCACCTATTTACCTATCAACCTATCTATCACCTGTATGTTATCTTGCATATCAGAAGATTCAGAAAATGAACGATTATACAATTTTAGACAGACAATATAAGGGACAACTTTTAAATCAGTCTTTAGTCTGATAAAGAGCATAATTTGAAATGATTATATAATAGCTGTCATCCTTTGTAATTTTTAATAACATTTTCTTAGACACTATCCAGCAAGAATTATATGACAATCTCTAGGAAATTTTATTGAAAAATAGTAATAATGGGAATATATACTTCCTAGCTTTTACATAGGAAATAGGCAAGAAATAAGTACCTACGGTCTTTGAATAAAGTAACTACTTTACTTACATAAATTAACAAATTAATATAATTGACTTTCTGCAGGTTACTTTTTGTAAAAAATGTTTTAAGTGCAGCAATCACTTTCAGGGAAGCAAGTCAAGTTACATAATATTACTCCACTTTGTCTAACTCCAGTAGGTGAAAATGGAAACTTTAAAAGATTTTTAGACAATACTTAAGTTTGTACCTGCTCACAAGGTACCACATGGAGTTTCCTCACATGTATGTAGTGCTTATCGTTCTATGTATTTTCTCAAGTACTTAGCATATCTTCATGGAAACATTCGAAACCCGTTTCTTCGAGGTGGTTTTGTTTTTGATTGCTTTGCTAGATCAAACCCAGAGCTCTGCACACATTAGGCAAATGCTTTACCGAGCTCACCGCAGACGCAGCTCTCTTTTCTTCTCACGTGTATAGCACCATCGTTGCTCTGCACTTCCTACAATCGCTCTACAGAGCAGCAGGAAGCCGGAGCTGCTTTTTCCTGCCTAACCACACATCACTCAGTGCCCACACGTCAGTCTTTCCCCATCCTTCCCTCACCTTTATCTTCCCCAGCTTCAGGTTACCGCTGTTCTGCTCTCAACTATGAGATCAGCGCTTTCAGATTCTATGAGGGTGAGATTATGCAGTACCAGTTGTTCTGTGCTTGGTTTATTTTACTTAACAAATGACCTTCACAAATGACCAGATTTCAGTCTTTTAATGGCTGAAGAGTATTCCACTGTGTAGCCCTATAGAAGACACATTTTCCCCACCGACTTACCAGTTATTTGACACATAGATTGTTGCAGTTCTTATCTGTGGTGAAATGTGCTATAGTAAACATGGCAATATAGAAGTTCTTTAATATACTGGCTCCATTTCCCTCGGATATTTATACAGCAGTGAGACACCCAGGTCATGCAGTAGTTCTAGTTTTATTATATGTAGAACCCCACCCTGTTTCCCACAATTGCTGTATAATTTTCATTCCCACAAGCACTCATGTTTGCATTTGTTTTCTTTTGTCTTTCTGATAACAGCCGTTCTAACTGGAGTAAGATGGTATGTACTGCATTTTCAGTTTACACTTCCCTGATTATTAGTGACATTCAGCATTTTTAATGTACCTGTTGGCCATTGTTTTCATTTGGAAAAAAGCCTCTTTGGGTCTTCTGACCACTTCATAATTGGTTAATCTTTTGTTATTTAGTTTTATGAATTCCTCATGTATCTTAGACATTAAACTCTAGTCAGATATATGGTTTGCAAATATTTTTTTCCTAATTCATAGGCTGCCTTTCAATTTATTTTTGACTGTTTCTTTTCTGTGTAGAACTTGCTTAACTTGATGCAGTTTGGTTACTTTTGCTTTCTCCACCTTTTAGTGTTATATCCAAAAAAGCATTAGCAAGGCCAACATGAAAGACATTTTTCCCCTTATGTTTTCTTGTAGGAGTTTTACAATTTCAAGCCTTGTGTTTACATTTTTAATTTTTAATTTATATTTATGTATGAGGACAGGTAAGTACTCGGTTTCATTCTTTTGCATGAATGTTCAGATTTCCTAACATTTTTGGAGAAAGTCTCTTCTCTCATTGTGTACTGTTGATGTCCTTGCTGAAAATTAGGTGACCAAATCTGGGTTTTTTTTTCTGGGTTCTGTATTCTGTTCTGTTGCTCTATTTGTCTGTTTTCCTGTGAGTACCGTCTGTTTTGATTACCATAGCTTTGTAGCACTGCTTGAAGTCAGGAGCTATAATGCATCCAGCTTTGTGGTTCTTTCTCAAAATTACTTTGACTGTTCTGTCCATGTGAGTGGTTCCAATTGAATTTGAAAATTGTTTTTTTTTTTTTCTATTTCCGTCATTGAAAAATGACAGAAAAAATGCTTGAAATTTTGATGAGGATTGCCCTGAAACTAAACATCACTTTCAGTAGTATGGGAATTACAACAATGTTAATTATTCTGATCCATGAACATGGGATATATTTCCATTTATTTTCCTATTCTTC